AAGCTGTCAATATGCGCAACTAAAATGTCACCGAAGTCTCCGCTAATCACGTTGGTGTCGTACCTCAGACGTAACGCGGGACAGAAGCGATACATGTAAATGTGTCCATACTGGCGCAGCTCTTGCGCAAATTCTGGGGCGAGGGTTGCATGATGGGCCGGGGGGAAATAGCGCAGAGCGTTTCTCAGTGCCAGCTGAAAGGGTGGGGGTAGGGGGTACGAGAATCAAAGCCTTTGTATCATAAACACACAGGGAAGTACGGTATGTTACGTAGGTCAAAAGATAGAGGTCACTTGCTTCTCTTAATTATTGACTGGAGCTTTTGCTTCACTTTTGGCCAATCAGTGAAGGACCTTGGAGAATAATCAATATTGTCGAGCAGCGCAGCCATCAACAGCGGTGTTGCAATAAGTGTGAAAGCTATTTAGCAAGATGTACCCCCCCCCCCCGACCCCACTCCACTCGGGGTGTTCCCCGCTTCTTGCCTGAAGTCAGCCAACATGACCCAAGTAAGGACAAGCACCACAAAAAAAGCAAGTATTTTGCACTCTGGATTTGTGATGTACAGTATTCCTGACTGAATCAACTTACCCGCTCCTCTTGGACTGTGAGATTTGGGGTCCGAACGGGTGCATGGGGCACACTGGGGTCTCTTCCTCGGTTCGGGGGCAACGGGTCCAAAGGTAAGCCGCTGCATATCTCCTTGAGGGTGGCCATTCTGTCAAGTCCTCAATTTAAAAACAGTGAGGAAGGACTGCTGCTGAATAGTTGAAGGAGAGTACTTGCGACCGACTGGTCCGATTTGGCTTTCTGCTGATCGTTGCCCCCTGAACATCCACCAATGACAGAAAAGGATGTTTGGCAATTATTGATCGCAAAGGGAGATTGAAGCGGCACGTGTCTCAGTGGTCAAACTTAACTCTGACCCCTGTGCGACTTGCTTACACAAAAGTGAATGCCAAAACATTTGAACAAGGGAACTATTATAGTCGTCCCGCCGCATACTTGCAATTCTGCACCTACGGATTCGCATTTTCAGACGCCACCCCCCCACCCCCTGCTTTTTGTAGAAAGGGGTAATTAGGCAAACAAACACAAAAAAAAAACAAGGCCTTCAAAAGCACTTAATACTGACTCCACTTTCACCTCCTCATGATGCAGAATTAGGAGCAATTAGAGTTAAGATGTTGCTCAAGGATGCTTCGACATAATCACAACTACTCTATCACTGAGCCACGTGCGATTGGATCCCCCCCCCCAGTGCATTTCGATGGGCGTCGGTGACACACACCCACGGATTTTCGCTATGCGAGGATAGGCCGCGAATACTCGGGTGTCCACTGCAATGTCGGTCGATGTGACAGCATGATTTGCGCTTCTGGCTTGAAGCTCGGTCAACCAGTACAACACACACACACACACACACACACACACACACACACACACACACACACACACACACACACACACACACACACACACACACACACACACAGTTCCCAGTTGAAAACAGCAGAGTATTCATTGCATACTTCGGTAGTGTACAAGCAAGTTCTACAAGGAAACAAATATATCATTCATATTTCGTGGGTTTTTTTCTGCCGTTATTTTGACATATAAAATGCTTTGGTATGTTATAAGGATTTTTTGCTCTTTATAAGGATTTTTTTGGTAGTTTATACAGGTTGGCGCTCCGAAAAGTTGACAGGTATGATTGTCCCCCCCGGTTTTTTGTTTTGTTTTGCAAGACACCAGTCTGCAGCAGCAAATAAGTAGACGAGCTGCCTGAAAAGCAGGTTTTTGAAACAGGTTGGGGGACAAAGTGTAACAGCCAGCAAACAGGAAGTAACGTTGAATATAAAACGACCAAAAAAGCTCTTTATGCTGGAAACGTGTTTTTATAAAGCACTCAAATAGGTGAAATAAATGAGAAGTAAAAGTTTTGGAATTTAAACATGACAAATCCAATGGCGGTTGGAGACCAATTTTACGTGAAGGGTGTGTGTGTGTGTGTGTGTGGGGG